TTATTTTTTATTTTTTTTTTGCCTTTTCTAGTCCTTAATGCTTAGAAAATTTGCTTAGAAAATGTTGATTCGGAGATATAGAAAAGGAGTTGATCAATACAAAAAATGGATCAGTTTCCGTAAACAATTTATGTTGCTTCTAGAAAATTTATATTTCTAATATCTTTGTTGATTAAACAGATATATTTATCTAGAAGCAGCAGTATAAAGCAAGTACCATAAATCTATCAAAAAACTCAACGAAATTGGGAATCCTGAGAGCTCTCTGACTCTTGGGAGATCTAGTTTCTTTAGACGAAAATTGGAACGTAGATCCATCTTGAGAAACCAGCAAAATCCTTTCCGATCTGCGACGAGGCTGGTTCCGGTGGCTTCCCTAGCACTGGTCCGGCCTCCCCTCTCTTCCTCTTTAGGTCTCTTTCGTTTTGGTGTGGTCTCGTAGCCTTGAAGTTTGTTTTTAGGTCCGGTGACTTGGATTGCTAGATCGGCGGTGGAGGTTTGGTGGTGGTTCGGGCGTGGTCTGGGCGCGTGATGGTGTCTCGTGGTGAAGGTTCTGTTGTATCTATAAAGCGTTGATACGCGTGCCTTTTACACGCGAGAGTTGTTTTTGCGCTTCAGATCTTCACGCTTCTGAACAAGACCATGCTCTTCTCGCCGGAGTGGGTGATCTCTTGGTTCACCGACAGCCTTGCTTCTGGATGGGCTCTCTTTTGGTAGAAAGGTTAGCGGATATCGAGTGAAAGGGGGACAAACCCGTTCTGATTTCTTCGTGTAGTTTCTTTGGTAGTATGCTTCATTGGCCTAGTAGGTGGACTTCAATCTTTGATTCTCGCTCGGATCTTCACGTTTGTGATTCCGGACATCGATTTGATATGTCCTCTTTAGCCTTGTTTGTTTTGGAGTTTTGGATGCAATTATGCCATGGAATTCCGGTTTCTATCAAAAGTCTTCTTTGGATTGGGTTCTTGAAAAGGTTTGAACGGGTCGTAACCCTCTTTCATCTTTCACGAAGAATAAGGCCAAGAGTTTTAGTTTTCACTAATCGCCTTCCTGATAGCTCGATCCTTTAACTTTGTGATGGCTCGCTGGTTCTGTTGCGGTGGGATTTTTAGTATGGGATGGAGAGTTGGAGTACGTGGAATCGGTAGCGCCCAATTACATTGGACTTCGGGGGTCTCTTGAGGGTGCGGCATAGCTGTTTTTCGTTACGGTCGCGTGCTTTTCTTCAACTCTAGTTTCAGTGGTAAGCTTCTGCCTCAAAATTCCGTGACTATAGCTTGTGATGAATGAGTTCATTGGGTGGAAGGGGAAGTAGTTGAATACTCGTTACAACTAGTTTGATTATAGTTTGCGATGTTGACAATTTCTGAATCCCTTTCTTTGGGTGGTTTTCGGAATTGTTTTGGGATTGTATTATATCGTAGTATCCTAATAGTGTAATCTACCTGTATTCTATCTGCGTATTCCTGTCGTGTATTTTTTTCTGGTTTTACACCATATTTAATATAATATTACAGATGTAAAAAAAAAGACAAAAAAAAGCAGCAGCGTAAAGAATTGACCCCAAAAGAGCAGAAAATATAAATTAGCAGAAGTTTTATCCCAATAACAAAAATAAAATAAAAAATAAGCAGAACTGCATATTCATTTTGTGACTACATTTTCCTCATATAAATTGATGTAAACAAATTGTAAGGAACAAAAAACAAAATTCATAGAGCGATACAGCATGCAACATATTTTCTGAGCAAAAACATGTATAGATCATAATCTATTTTGATTTTCCAACCGAAGAAGAAAAATCTCACTGACCCAAAAAAAGAGAAGAAGAATGGAATTCATTTGTAACTCCAGAGATTATCTCCTTGATGATTCTCCGGCGAATCATCATCTAGCGTCGGATTTGTCATTCTCGGTGGACTCATAAGCATTCCTTCCGCCATCTCCGATAACAAATTCGGCATATTCATCATTTCTTCCTCGTCCATAAACTCCAACGAAGATGACAACGCTTCTTCCTCCTCCTTTCCGGGTTGACCCGGATCCACTACCCTCTCTGCTCCACCCGGATCGGGTTGCTTCATCTCGGCGGCTCTCGCGGCGGCAGCTCTTATGTCAGCGGCCGAGGTCGAAGCTGGAGTTACGTAAGTCAATGCCAAACCGGGAAAATTCAAAACGGCTTCGGAGCCTTTAAGGGCAAGCGCCGCCACGTCGTAAGCGGCGGCAGCCATCTCCGGCACCGGATAAGTCCCGAGCCAGATCCTTGTCGTTTTACGCGGCTCTCGAATCTCCGATACCCATTTCCCGTTCCGTAGCCGAATCCCCCTGAAAACAGAGTGCCGACCGGATAATCCAGTCGCCGTTCTCCTCGCCGGAGATCCACCGGAGGCGGCGACGAGAGAAGGTCTTGGCGAAGGGGAAGAAGTTGAGCCAGGAGAGGACTGAGGAGACTGCTCAGAAGGTCTAGTAGGCAACGCGATAGAAGCTACACGAAACGTCGTCGTTTCTTGATTTCCGGTGGTCGGAGGATTAGTGTTTGACATAGAAACTCAAAGGAGCTTAAATTAAATGTAAAAATGTGTCTGTGTTATGTTTTGTATCAAATGTGTGTTTGTATATATATATATGTTCTTGAAACCGTGGGAAAATCCCAAGATCCTCCGTTTTTTGTTACACATAAATCCCTACATTTATTTAGATTATTATAGTTTATGATTGTATAAAGAGAAGTTTCAATTTTCCTCTTACCTCATTCCTCGTTATATCGTATTAAAATTCTATAAATAGAAATAAGTATATTATTATTATAAAAAATTTGTATACTCATTGCTTGAAATGTCAACCAAGATTTGCCAATTAAAAGTAGATTCGTGAACCCCATTTAGAGACAGCCACTTAAAGATGACCAAATCGCCAACTAAACACTTCTTGATTCTATATGATTACCACTAACAGTAATTTATTTTATCAATAACTCGTCTTTTTCTGTCTTATACTAGTAACAATAATAAATCGGGTAGATAAAATTGGGTGCAGATTCTTCTATTGGTTTGAGATAATAAGCGGCCTGACTTATGGATAATCTGTCAAGCCACACTTATTTTGAGGTTACAAATATCAAATAGTATATTTTTGAGGTTATAGAGTTAAAGTAAACCATTGGAGGATTGATGGGACACAAATACGGCCTTTTCACGGTATGAGTGAGCAGCAAACTACAGTCTATATATATTTCTCTGGTAACAAAAAGGTATAACTGATGATTGATGACACAAGGTGGTTCGAGTTTTTGGATGGTGTATAGTAATAACAAGAGATGGAGACTTCTAACAAATTCTTTCTAACCGGAGTAACAACATATTAGAACATGTTCAATGGTAAAACTCTTTATGGGATGTGTATAGTAATAATAAGAGATGGATACTTCTAACAAATTGCTTCTAACCGGAGCAACAACATATTAGAGCATGTTCAATGGTAGAATTTCTTATGGGATTCTAACTAATTTGTTTATTATATATTTTAATTTAAATTTTTTTTTTCTCTAATGGTAGAATCCCATTAGGAATTTTTAATAATAAATTTTTTTATTTTATTTTATAGGGCAATTGCAAAAATACCATTTTTGGTATACATATTTGTAAGAATGACACTTAAAGGTGTCTGTTTGCAAAAATACCACTAATTGTAGATTTTTAAAGTCTAAATCTTAAAATTATAACCTATGAAAAATGTTTTGACCTCTAAAACCCTCGAAACTAAACACTAATACAACATAGTTAACCCAAATATAGATAGTATAATGAATTTTTTTTTTTTAAAAAGTGGCATTTTTGCAAATTTTTTGAAAATGTGGTATTTTTGAAAAGTGGCACTTGAAAAGTGATATTTTTAAAAATTTCTATTTATTTATTTTAAGTAGAATTTTATTTTCTCAAAATTTATAAACATAGTCAAAAATTTATTTCCTCCAATGGTAAAATTTATAAACATTGTACGCGTTTTTATTTTTTTTCTTGTAAAAAAAATCATCGCCGAATCAATGGGTGACATGTGTCACCTAAAAACCACCTAAGAACCAATTTTTAAATTTCTTAAATAAGAATCGGTTCTTAATAATATAACCAATTTCTATTTAATTTTAATATATTTTGCCTTGAAAACTTGCATTAAGAGTCACGGTCTTAGTATTCAAAGCCTACAAAAGAAGACGTTTCATTGGACAAACAAAATTGTATATGACCTTCCCATTAAAAATTTCTAAGTTGTATAAAAGTTATCCGGAGAAAATTGAACAAATCAGAACTTTTTGTTGTTGGAGGAGAGTGAATGGATTTCGTATCAGCTCCACTTTAATAATGTGAGTTGTACCAAAAGTTATTTCTTTCCTCTTTTTGCCAACGATTTTTTTATTATAACATAAAAGCGAGGCTGAGAATCGAACACGTACTCTGCGCAATTTAATTTATTTTTTTAAACACGTACTAATCAAAAACGATCATCGTCCTTTTTTTTGATTCAATGAAATAATTAAGGTGAACCAAAAAGGCAATAAAAGAAAGAAAAATAGATAAAGAAGTCAAGATATAGTATTAATGAGGGTAATGGTGAGCACTTAAGGAAGCCAGCCAAGCTGGTCAGACACGAGTCTCTGAGAATAAATGACCCACACGATTTACATTCACGGTAGTACTCTCCTATAGGCTTGTTTCACATATTTTATTGATTCATTATTAGTTTATTACAACCCACATTATCACTCAATTTGTAATGACATAGCATCATCTTCGTCAGTCCTATGAATGCACAACTAATTAGAACTTTCCAAGCAATTTCTACTATAAGCCTTCAATTGTTTACAAATTAAGATGCTCGACTCGATCATATTTGTTTACAAGTGAAAGCTACGATAAAATTTTTTTAACGAAACTAATAGAGAATAGCGATGTGTAGTAGATGATCTCATTCGATCTTCTTCCAACGATATGTGAAGTCGTTTTGCGCTATATACAGGGTCGGCCCTGGACTAAACACCCAAAAATCATGAGTTATAGGTTTTAAATTCAAATCATGAATTTGAGGTAAAATTTATTTTAAAAAATTTGTACGTGGTTTTCAAATTAAAACTTTTTTTTTTTACAAAAAAAATAACTCATCTTCCCAACCGCTATTGAGATATGTAATTCTTTTGTCCTTTGTTTTTACGTTTATGTTTTAAACAACAAATTTATTCGGGAAACATGGTCTAATTAAGTCCGATGAAGAAATGAAATGTAAATTGAATATTTTTTTATGAAGAAGAGATATACCAATCTCGACCCTGTTCTTCCAAAGACGTTCCTTGGATTCAATCCATTCTAAACATAATTGGGACTAACATGTTTTGAACGAATAATGCCTCATTAACAAACTTCACCAGAAAAGAATTTACCATGATAATATACGAATTATTTGATAATAGGAGTGTCAAAAGGACTAGTTAGTGCACGCACCCGGCTGCTCATCAAACCTTATGTTGTTTCTATGTCCTAATTATATAATATTTTTTCGGAGATAAATTATTTCTTCTCAACGAAAGATTCAACAATTTTACATTTTTGATATTCTATGTTATTAAATTTAAAACTCGATTGTTTGGCTTATCATACTGTATATTTTTTCATTTGTTTATAAAACTTTGTTTTTGCAATTAGGATTTAGGATCATCTTACCGAGAGTTTAGTTTTTAATATACAAAGTTGACAAATACAAAAACAAATATATTATTCATATTTCTAGAATTTGTCAAATGTCCTAACTACTTAACTATACTGATTATGTAGTAGAAGTAGTACTAAACTGTTTTTTTCAAACGTTTAGATAGTCAGCATAATCAACTGAAATCCATTTTTGGACTGGTCAACTCCTTTTTTTAATAGAGATATTGTATACGCCATGTTTTAGCACATATTATTTGAGAAACAAATCTACTTCTTGGCATGTTTTTTTTCTTACCACATTAATTTAAGGGTCAATTTGAGAACTAGCCATATTAGATTTCAAAATTAAAATTTATAACTATGATAATGAGATATTTTGGTAAATAACCATTTGATTTATTGAAGCGATGATTTTCACTTTATATTTATTTTCTTTTTGTGCTTCTCCGTTCCACTGCTACTTTCGAAGGTAAACGAACGATAATTTATGGCTTGAGACAAATACACCAGAATAGGAACCGAAGATGGATTGAATATGGAATAGAAGAACCAAACT